GGAATCATGCTCGACTGCGCCGCCTTGCCACCCCGCAGGTACCTCTTGGTGGCGGCCGCAGGTGGTGGTGCACCTTAAACCGCCACCTTGAAGCAGGTATTCAGGAAGTGTTCCGCGCTCGTTTGCACACATCAATTGGCAGGATGTACAGCTATTCATTTGTTTCTCCACGGAGTTGTGCCTAACTCTTACTTTTAATATTTTTAATTGCTTTCACTGCAGCATATTTTGGTGTTGAACAAACATTGGCAGGGTATATTTTATTTTTGCATAATTTTGCATAATTGATACGCCCAAAAACACATCCTGTTCGTTAATTCATCATTTTGCATATCCGATTTTGCTACGTGAATATAGTAGCTCACTTTAATATTGCGTTTATAAGTAGATGTGAATAATTGAAACATCTACACAAATACATTTTTAAAGATCTTTTGCTCTCTATAAAGAATTAGCGCACCACGTGAATATTATTGAAAATATAGATACTCGTTATAAATAGTCGCCAGTGGACTGTAGGAGGCTGCACAAGCACAGAACGTTTTTCATATGGACAGATCGCGGCGATATCTCAACGGTATTGTCGGCCGGCATTTTTGCCGGAGGGTGAAAATCGCAAATGTAAATCGTCACCGAGTTGCATGTTGATACCCACGCGTTCGGATGTTAAATGTAGAAGGATTATGGCGACTGTGCGCGGCATCGATATTTCGAATGTATCGGCGGTCGACATCAGTCGGGGAGGGGTTTATGGAGGTGTTCCGCCGATGATGCGCATAACGGAACGATATAGATTTGCGAATAAAGTTTCGAATCATTATGTTTTTTTTTATCTCAGACGGAAGCGCCTCCGACCGAGCGTATTTCAATGACGATTGTCACACGTTGCCCGTATCGCCGTTGTAAAAGAGACATGCTGAACCGTCGCGTCGCTGGCAGGTAACAACAAGGTCCTCAAACAGAGAAGTCCCCGTGGGATAAGCATACAAAAGTCATCGAAGTCACTCGGGGTCAAAGAATAAAATTAATTCGTGTGCCGTGCGCATTATCGCATTCGGCCCTTATTATCGTACAGCCGATGCAGTCTGCAGATGGGTATATTATTTCTTAAGTTCCCTCTTTCGTCGGACGAGCGAAATCGCATTATGTATTCATGAATTAACATCATTAATATTTATTTATAAATTAACATCATTGCATATACTAATGTGCACAGGATTATTCTCGTATGTTTAATATTACCGAAAAAAGTTATTTAAATTAGTACAACTTAAATAGTTCCATTATAAATTTCGGACAGATTTACACAAGAAAGAAAGAAACGAAGAAATTGTTTCTCCGTATTTTTCCAAAGCGAATGAACACAAGACGTCTCGCGGGCATGTCGCGTGACATCGAGACGCTAAGAAATCCAGCGCAATTGTCGGCGAGATTGAAGCGCCGTGACGTCGCTTTCATTTTAAATTCCCGAGTCGCGACACGAAATGGTCGTCTCACGACGACGTTCGACAAAGAGTCGTCGTGAAACGCTCTGAAAAGTGGAGCAGCTTCCTTTCCTCCCGGGCGAGGTCAAAAAGTCTCGCGCTCCCTTTTGTTCCCTCTTTTTTCGTGGCAGCGCCACGACGGCACGTCTGTCGGGCCCATTGAAATCGGGTGTCGCGCGGGTGTTGCTGGTACCCTTTCACCATGGCAACTATTGTTTCAAAGCGAAGCGTACGTTTCGTTGGTTCGCTGCGCGCGGTTGCGTGGAAACTGCGGCCACGCGTTCCCTGCAAGCGCGCCTGTGTTTTACGGCCGGCGACTACGAGCGGAGTGCATCGGCACGCGTCCCCGGCGCAGGTGTATGCGGCCGCGCGTCGTTGCGCTGCAAGGCAACTACCCGCACGATTTCCAAGATAACGGTTGACACTCGTAATTATCGATTCCACTAAGCAGACACGCATTCTTTACGCGCTCTCCGCATAATGCCCTGAGCAGATAACAACGCCCTTGCATCCTCGCGCCTCTACATCTGTCAGGTTTTGTTACAATAGAATTTATGGCAGACGCTATTAGCGTACGCGCCGTGCGCAGCTTCGCGAAAGAAGCTACTGCACGATCAACTCATTAGCGCTAACCGTGTAATTCGAAAATAATTTACCCACTTCCTTATTATCCGCACTCCACGCGGCTGTTATTATTTCGCAATACGTGCACAGCCATTGCACCGGCTACGTTATTATTATGGCTCGATTATGCTACACGCCGCGACTCGCGTGCTTATCAATCTTCATGATAAAGAAAGGTATTAAATTAGAGCCAATTATTGTTACCATTTCGTACGTTGCTCTATTATTATACGCGTATCTTCGGAATGCATTGTCAGCGTTAATAAACGCGATATTGAATTGAATTAATTAATGAGTATTGTTCTTGTACGCAAATCTTTTTTAAATGCATGCATAAACTAATACGCTCTTGTAAAATACTATTTGCATAAATATTTACATAGAATTATTAAAAAAATTAATTCTATTGTGATGGTCATGGTTTTTCAAAATAATTTTGACAAAAGTTAAGCAAAGTTTATTATTCATGATTATTATTTTGCATATCGTCGATACTCTTAATCGAACACTAACTATCATTGAGATCGATTGCGCAATTATCAATCTTCATACAATCATGCCATTAACGTCAATTACCGAAGCTCACCGGTTTAAGGCAAAGCGAACATAGGAGCGACCGGTCGCGTGGCCGCCACGCGCCTCTACCGATGACAACTTCCGTCCCTCCTGCCGGAAGTCGTATCAAGCGTCGACGACGCAACTGCACAGCCTGCATTCTAGGCACCCGCCTCTATGTACGTTGAGCAATTGGCCGTCAACGTGTCGCGTGCGAATACAATGACGTTCTTTTCTTATGCACAAATACGCATTTATCGTTCGGTCGCGTTCACTAACAATGAATTTATATTTTAATCATTATTTCTAAAATTGTATATAGATATATTTTCTATAAAAATTTTAAATAGATAGGTTTTTATTTTTTTCTTTCAATAAAACTCTTAGTTAACAATTTTTCTTTTCAAATTAATAGAAATTAGAGATCTTTGTACGCAATTTACTCATTATTTTCTCTTCCGGTTATTCCCTCTGTTTTAATCAACCATAATATTACTTTCTGGTGCAGCCATGATTGTCGCACCGTGCTATCTAGATGCAGCGGGCTCGCGGGTGCATTAAGATCGAGATAACGTTTATTTACGCATTCCAAGATGGAGGCAGGTGGGTCGTCATAAAAGTTAACTTGTGAGATGATGTAGTGTTCGGTCGATGCTCCAGCACGGGCGCAATGCGGGAGCTATGCCCCGTAATAAACGCCGTTTTATTATGTGACCTGTGGTCTCGCTGTCCTTTCGTAAATAAAGAGGCGCTATGAGAATTTCGACGTTTTTAAGCCCTCACGCGCACTAAATCGTAAATCTCGATAAAATGTGGAATTGAAAAGTCAAAATTACTTCGTCGTGAAACTCGCGTCGAATTATGGATCACAATGTTTTACATTTTTACGCGTTATTATATTCAAAGCCAGTAACTTTTTGAAAGTATGACATTTATCGAAAAATAAGAAATAAATTTTGCTTTAACAACTTTTAATTTTATGTAATTTTTGATATAAAAGAAACGCGTATGCCATAAAGAGTGTACTCTCCTGCAGTGTGCAACTGTATATTGTACGAAGCAGCTTGTATTTTTAACGGGACCCAATCGTGTACGCGCAACGCAAATTCGACTTCCGCGAGTTACGACAACTCGTTTTCGAGAGTGCGAATATAGTACGAGTGCAGAAAAAGGGGGTCGCCGACCCGTGACACATCCCCCGTTCGTTCGCACGTTTCAAGGACAAAAGTCGACCTCCTTCGCAATCTTTTTCCTGGTTTCTCCCCGTCGGGCCGCCTCCGTCTACAATTTAAAGACATTCGAACGCGCGCGATCTTCTTTGCTGCGCCGAAAAGGAAGAAAGGGATACCATCCCACTCCACTCCTCTCTCCTCGACGGTCCGAAAAAAGTGCTTTGCGAGAGACCGCATATATCGCGGCCGGCTAATCTAAAAATACTAAAGTCGACCTTTCCCGCGGCAAGAGTGATGGCCCTGGACGACTGCTAAATCAACGGCGAGATTGAGATGCAAATGCAGTCTCTCGCGTTCAGCGAGAGATGCGAAGGGTGCGCCGCGGAGGGAGAGAGAGGAAATGGGATGGCGGGGGCGCGAGAAGAAAGAAGAGGATGCGAAGTCAAAGATGCTACAAAAGACGAAAGGAGGAGAGGATGCGGGCGAGGAGGAAAGAAAGAGAAAGAAAAAAAGGGGGGGAGGACCACGTTGCGATAACTGTGCAATTCGTGCAATTAACATTTATAATGTCTCCATCCGACGGTGTTGACAGGGCGGGCGAACGGCTGCGTACATAAAACGCGGAATTTAACGCCGATAATTCAAGCCGGCCACGATTGTGCGCCCGGTCCCTCCTTTCTACCCCCCTTTCTTTACCGCGCGCGGGCGAAATAACTTCATTGAATTTCGCGTACCCCGACCGATCTCGTAATAATTCATGCGCGATACGCGCACGACCCGGCCGGTATCGCGAGCCCGATCTGCCGTGCTGGACCGGTATGTGCGTATCTGCTTGCGTATATATTCATCCGCGTGCACTCGCATCGCGTGGAAAATGGAAATAAACTGCGCGTTATCTCACCGTATTCTCATCCCGATGTCATCAGTGTCACGACCTGTACCGATCAGAAAGATACCGTGTCTAGGAATCGATTCTGGTATCTTAAGATGACGAACGTATCGTCGAGAATGAACTCTCTATGATTCTTTGAAGAAAACCGATAGATGATATAATAGCGTACAAATAATCTACACATACATAAAGATATATAAAGAGTAGCAAAAAATTATAAAAAGGCTTTACTTCGATAAATATATCACAACTTTTATGTTTTCTAAAAGAAAATTATTTATTGCGCGTACTTGGAAATTCGTTTAATGGAAGTTTGTCTGATTCCTTATCTCCTATCGGTAGCCATTTGCAGCGTATTTTCTTCATTTCCTATCGAAATAATGTGTGAACTCATAATGCTAATTCAATTGTATAAAATTGAAGTGAAAACTTACCGAATTTACTACGGTTCCATTCTCGTCAATTTTACATATTTCATATTTAAAGAGAATAGTGTGCTCATTATCGCCTATGTATACCGTTCTCTCACGTAAATCTTTAACAATATGAAACTCAAACACTTTTGTAATAACCACGTTTGTTATCAATCCGATCCATTTAGTATTAAATAAATCTAAAAGTTAGCAATATATAAGCTGCTAAATATCGATTAAATAATTTCGACATTTTACTTTCGTGAGCTGTGCGATTTATCGTCACGTTTCCGGGAACCACCATATCGTGTGCTTTACTGAGAAAACAACAATTGTGACCTGTAAAACTGATTTTATTTTTTCCACGCTGAAGAATTACCTGCAAACATATAAAAATATCTGCGGATATTGAAAAAAAATATCTAGAAAACTCGATCCAGTATTTTGTTCGTTTGATCAATTTGTAACATTAATTATTAATATTCACCCGAAAATCCACGTGATCGCCGGGCGTTCGCACACTGTGAAATCCTTTATCCAGCCATTTGAAGTTTGTCTCGGCCTTCACTACAAAATCGCGAATCGGTCCTAGCATCTTCAAAACCGGCACGGCGCGGAAACATGTTATCTATTTCGCAGGAGAAATAGCTAATAGAATAACTTTGGGAAGGTGTTTAATTATATATTACCTGCGTGTCAACTGGCACAAAAATATGTCCAATTTGATACGCGTTAGTGTCGAAGCAATATGGAATCGGAGTGTAATCGGCTGCCCCAATTTCTTGAGCGACAATCGGTCCAATAATGTTCCAAGAATGAATGATACTTAGATTTTTGGAAATACGAACTCTTCGTTTCTTTTTAACAATGTGCATCTGCGCCTCATGACGCATTTTGACTTAATGTTAATTAACTTTTATTTTGGTTATGGTTGCTTCGCGCTTGATAAATGTAGCATTAGTGTCAATTGTTTGGCGAACATCGCACGACAAAAGTATCGATAAATTGGATGCAATAATATATAATTTTGAAAAATCTACAGTAAAATCTGCAAAGCTGATTCTCCGTGTTTCAAAAATATTATTTTGAATTCCAATTTGCGAGACCTATATATTTTTGAAAGTTATTCTGTGAACTTACCGTTCAGCTTTGCACGTGTCGCCTATCAAGTCCATGTAGCGCGTGGAAAAAGTTGACCGAGAAATTTAAAGAGATGAGTTCCAAATTGAATCGAGTGATATTGGTGTGGCCGATCGATCATGGGACTCGTCCTTTTGGTCGGCGCAAGTACATCGGCCCAGTCATTTGTAATCATTAGCGGCAGTGTACCGTTGGCCCCGACATTTTATTATGTCATTTCGTTTCGTATCCTTTCTTTCTCGCCGCAGCGCGTCACTGACGTAGACATCTCGGCATTGTTGCTGTAAACAGTATTCGACCATTATTTATCGACGCAAACGAAACATTGAATTAACTCTCATTCATTGCCGACGAATGAAGCGAGATGCGGATAATCATTTTTAATTAGAATTATGCGAATATAGCTATTTATCTTTCTTTATCTTCCCCGACGATCTCGGAGATCGCGTAATAGGCGTAATATTATAAATATGCGATGTAGTAATATACTCGGTCATTCACAAATAAAGAGGAGCGTTTTCTAAGTAGCGCGAATTCCGCGACGCGGTTCCGCGATGTCAAGTTAGTAGCGATGCAACTGGTTCTGCGACGCAATCCTTATAGTTGTAAAGTACGCTACAGTATTGTATACGCGCGACGATATTTAATTCACCGAGTGCGATAAACATGCTGATATGTGGATTCTCCGTGTCCGGACGCAAGCGCGAAATTAGCGTCGCGAGGCAGCCCCTCTCGCAATTTACACATTCCGCGCAGATAGCGGCGAGACAGTTGGAAAAAATCGATCGCGCGAACACTCGCGCTGCGCTTGCTGCGAATCTTGAGCGCAGTTGAGATTTGCAACCCGGCATTTTTGCGCGAGGAGACGTTGCGGTTCGTCGCGCTTGTAATTTCACCTGCAGCTAAAAAAAAACCACCTCGTATTCCGCCTTTTAATTAATGAATTCTTAAAATCGCCACATGAAGTTCGAGGTGTTTTCGGCGAAGCGAAGTAAAATATCGTCGAAGTTTGCGCGACTTCGAGTGGCCAAAAAAGGACAGTGGCAAGCGCGTAAAAATCCACATTCTTCGATCTTCGCGGCGAATTTGTGATTACGATAGAGTAATTCCAATGCATCATCGGTAGCGGCGACGCGGTAGCACCGGCAATGAGCGGGGCCCCGGGATGAGCCTTAAATTTCCAGACCGGCAAATTGAAACGGTCCCGGGCCGCATCCCGATATTGCTTATGGTACAAATTTAATAAGGCGCCTGCTGGGGCCACCAGTTACCATGCTAATATCATCCGCCATCGGCCGCGCACAGCTTCTCCACCTGACTCCAGGACGAAGAAAAAGATGGAGGTTGGAAAAAAGGGCCATACGGAGGGAACGGGGGTAGCGGGGAACGACAGAACGTTGCACAGAAGGGGGGAACAGCGTCGACGACGAAGATGACTGCGACGGATGTGGACGCGCCGAGGGGCGCGGGGCGACTCGTAACCCGTAATGTTATGGCGCTGCCCACCGCGAGAGGGACCCTAAAGGGCCCTCGTGCCGGGGTCTTTAGTGCCAAATTGGTTATGCGGACGCTTTACGACACGGCACGCCGATATTAGCCGAATGAATTACATAAATTATCCTCGGAGTTACCTCGAGAACGACGGCGATTGCGCGGAGGAACGGGGCGAGGCGAGCTTTCGCTCGCGCAAATTCCAGCACTTCCATTGAAGTTCCGGAAAGAAAGATGTTTCTGAAAAAAAAAAAACTCTTTCTCGGTGGAAAAAGAATCGGTTCTGTTTAAAATTGAATTGAACTGTCTCGACGTACATCTATGTTATTTAGCGATTTGTGTGAAAGAATCTTACGTATGTGATTTCGATCTTAAAATGTAATCTCTTTAGCACTAATTTGCCGGTGTAATTGCATTTCTAATATTTACGATCGAGGAAAATTAATCCGCGACCGTCTCTGCGCGAATCATCTTTATTTCACGGTCTACGCGCGTTGGTTTGAAAACTCACGGATTCCACCGCTGAAATTCCGCCGGACTCATCACTCACCGATGCAGCGCATGCTGCTCGCGAGCATAACGAGGATAGTGTCCGCACATCACATGCGGTCCGGACTCATCCCCCGTCATTTTATCATCCGGCGAACCGACTCTTGCGGGGTACCTACCGCACTCGGGACGCGTCTCTCGACGGGCAGCGGCGCAGTAATCTCGTGCGTCCCTCGTCATTCGTTCGTACCAAATAAGACGAGATATACAGCGGGCGTGGGGCGTAGAGGCGGAGGCTTCTCGCAGAGAAGCGGAATCAAGTAGGGACATTTTTATCAGTCGTCGAGTCCTCCGCGGGAGGTCCCCGTGCGCGGACGCGCGTGCCTGCGTGGTCCGTCGAAAATTTCGCGAAGATCGCGCCGAAGGATGTATCTCATTCTCTCCGGGTTACGCTCTCGGCAGGTTCGGCAGTTTAAAGTGGAAATGCACGAATGAACGAAGCGAAGCGGTGGCAACGGTCGGTAGATGAAAAATTCAACAGCCGCCTGGGGTGCGGAGGGGTGGAAGGGATGGTTGTTGCACGAAGGTGTAAGATAAGACGAAGATGCGGGTCATTTAACGCAGGCTCGCAGGTGAAGCTACGTTAAGGCCGTTGCTACCGCAAGGTGTGTCAATGAGTCAATCAAACAATTCCACGATAAACCTGCGTTAGTAACAAACAGCACGCGCGTTTATGGTGTGAATATTAAATTTCGATAAGATTAGCCAATTGAGGTCACATTTTACAGAGAAAAATATTTCGATCTGTATTTCGATTTTTCTAATAATTCAATGATCATTCACGGCGGCATTTTTCATTCCGACACGCGTAGCGAGGACGGCCTCTCCTTCCTAAATAAAGCGAGATTTCATGCAAATCTCGACTTTCTTCGACGTATCTCCGAGAGTCTTCTATTTCCGTGCCGGTCTCGCGTAGCGGCGCGCGTTACGGGACGCCGCGCCGCGCGGTACACGACGCCGAGAGGCGGCGTACAGTCAGGAAATTAGCATACGAGGTTGGAATCGAACGAGGTACCCCCGATGTCTCCATCGCTCGTGAAATGGATACCCCATTCCATCGCGTTCTCCTTTCAGGATTGGTTTATGCCCGAGCAAGACTTACGACCGGGCCGTGCCTCAATCGCCGCTCTCGGGGAGCGAGCCCGCGCCGGGCCGTCTCACCTCGCTTCATCTCGCCTTGTGTGGGTGTTTTACGTGGATATTATTGACTCCGTCTTGCTCTTTGTTGCTCTTCCCCCCGATCCTCCGGTCGGCGAAACGTCCAGATGTTGCGCGACGTAACGCATCGTACGTTGCGAAAGGAAGGCGATTTATTCGCCATATTTTATAGAGTGCTGGGAGAATGATGAAAACCGTTACTGCATTTGGCGACAGTCATTTTTACGGCGACAAACACGCAGTATTAATTATCCGATACTTTCAAACAAAGTTTACATCATGCAACCCTTATTAACAATAAAATATTTAGAATTATGAATTAAAGCATATTAAAATGAGATAAAAGAGCTTTTGAAACGTGAAAAATATTCTGAAAAATCTCATTACATTTTTATCTTTTTTAATATTATAAATTTAATAGAAAGTATGCAAAAACTCACGTATGACGAAATTTTATTCAGAACAATGGCGTTGAAATAATTCTAGCACTACGCGCGCGCGATGATGGAATGCTCCAGCGTTGAAGTCTCCGTAATCGTATGTGCGTATCCAGTGTTGAAATCTCCACCTTGCCCGACGTGATCGACTCGTTCCGAGCTTGCGTCGACGATTACGCGGGCGCGTTATCTGTGCGGAATGTAACGAGCGCACAGAGTATCGCGGTAGGAAGCTCTAGCGAACGACAGAGACGCGCGAGGCCGAGCAAGGTAAGCCGACGGAGACGGCGGATGAACGGGACAGAAGAAGGAAGAGAGGCTACCGACTGGTGAGTTACATTCTCGCGCGAGTGTTCGCCAATTATCTCCGGACGGGTAGCCGACTCTAATTGGACTTTACGCCGGTGGGTGGGATCAGAAATGGCGATTGCGGAAAAAAAGAAGCGGCTCGTAACGCTCGCACGCCGCGAGCGTGTGCAGAATACATACACACACAGATTCGCTGCCACACATTCGATACGCTGCCGATAATTGGTCGAAAGCGGGAACGATTTGCTCCATTAAATCGCGCGGCACGAGGTGTCCGGAACTCTATGGTCTAATCCGCTCGGTCGCTCGAGGTGTCGAGGGCCGGTTACGGCGATCAACGTGTAGGTTTATTGCGCATCTTGGTCCGGATACGCGAGATAGAACTATGAAATTCACTTTTCCGACACGTAGACTCGGCTTTACGGCGCCTTATATTACCGTGACGTTTATTTGTGAACTTTTATATCTGCGTTTGAAGCTTTCCGCTGATTAACATTCCCATTCGTGATTCCTTAATTGATTGCTTGATTACGGAAATAACTATTAAAGATTTGATTCGAAAGTAATTGTCGAAAATAAAACGTAGTAAAATCCGTCGACGTTAAATGTTTAATAGGAATGTAACGGCACTTGACTTACAGTATTTACATGTAATTCTTGTACTCATTATCTTCAATCTAGCCTCATTTACTTCGCTTCCTAGAGTTCTGTGCTTTTACGATTGCTCTGTCTCTGATTACACTTCATGGACGGAACGCCCCGTGAAACCTTTGCGGAAATAATTACTAGCGTTTAGCACGAACAGACTC